CAAGAACATTCAAAAAATGGCAAAAATTGGTTTATTTTTGACTAAATTTGGTAAATTTTCCTTTTGTTTGAGCACAATTTCCCAAAAAAGGCTCAATCATAGCATTAATTTGTAACTGAGATTTTTGTTAAAATGTCAGGAAAAATTTTAAAATAATGTTAATTTCATCAAGATTTTTTGGGTTTTTTTGAGTGAATTTTCCGTTATCAAGCGAAAATTCTCACAGATTGCAATACTGCAATATTTTGCTTTAACATTAAGTATTTTTTTTGTTGTAAAATTTATCTTTTACAGTTAAAATTATTCAGAATTTATAATTTACAAACTAACTCATAAACAATGGACGTTGAATAAAAAATAGTTTATTTTTGGCTATTATAACGTTTTTACATTTTCTAAAAATAAAGGCAGAATATTTTTATTTAGTTAATGAGGTTTTTAATGAGCTTTAAATGCAAAACATGTACCGGTTGTCASACAAACAAAGGTGGGTAAATGGATTTCCTAATCATTTATGTTTCATTTTCAATTTTTTCCACTTTTTCTGTTATCTATTTTGAATTTCTCAATCACCCTGTATGTCGAAAAACCGGCCGATAAAACCGTTATCTCTTTCTTACTTGAGTGTTTTGTTGGCAGTGATGTCGTCTTCTGCGGACAACCTGAGCCCCAAACAGCGCTTCCCGGGGCTTCGCAAACCGGAAGTGAAGCCAGTGCAGCCCCCTTCCATAAAAACAACGCGARTTAATGACAGTTGGCAGGTCGATAATGGGTGGACATTTCGAAGTAGTTTGTTTCACAATTTCAGTGATTTTTTTACTGATTCATATTTTCAGGCAGCGAATGTGAAACAATGGAATCGAGTGATCCAGATTACGATTCTGATTGGCCCGTGATCAACACATTAATATCATCGATCCATCCTTACACTCCTGATCCGGATGACAGGACAACGGTTCAGGATATGATCTCAAAAAGGTTTCCTGATATTCGAACTTCGACGGAAATTACCACCGATGAGGAATTATGTCGAATGTCGGCCTATGACAACGTCGAGAGAGTACCGAAGGCTCCGCCCTCAGAAATCAGCGAACTCACCGAATTTTCGGACCCCTGGACTGAACTCAACCAAGTTACTACAAACACAGAGGTTAGAGAAAGAAAGTACTTGAAATAATGTTGATTTGATTCAAATTTAGTAATTTTCTGGCTTATTTTAGCAATTATTTTAGCATTTTGCAAAAAAACAAGTTTTTAGCTCAAAAACATACTCTCGAGAATGGCAAAAAATGGTAAAATTTGGGCTTTTTTTGGTTAAAACTCTTTTTTTTTGGACCGTTTCGGTAAAATTTCGCGAAAAAACACCTTTGTTCACGTCATTTTTGCGAAATTTTGCCAAAAAAGCCGAGTTTTAGCACAAAAATGCTTATATTAAAAAAAAAATGTAAAAGTAGTATAATTTTTGACTAGATTTGGCGATTTTTTAACTTCTTTGAACCAAATTTCTCGAATTAGGGTCAATAACAAATGAAATCCAACGAGACAAATTTTTGGAAAAAAATTTTTTTTTGACCCTTGAAAATTTTTTTGAAATAAATTTTATTTAGTGATTTTGTAGTTTATTTTAGCGAAATTTTGCCAAAAGAAGCAGTTTCCAGCCCAAAAACATGCTTTTACTYTCGAAAATGTCAAAAGTAGATCTAATTTGGTAATTTTTGGATCTTTCTAAAACAAATTTTTTACTAAGAAGCTTCAAAAATGCTTGAAATGGCGAAAATATTATCATATTTGACCTAATTTGCTGGGTTTTGATTTAAAAAACTTAGTTTTTTAGTTCAAAAACGAATTTAACTGCTTGAAGAAGCAAGAATAGTACAATTTTTATTGATTTTTCGACTGGTTTGGACGAAATTTTGCAAAAAAAAGTGCATTTCTGGCTGAAGAACTTTTTAAATGCTTGAGAAATTGAAAAATAACATCATTTTCGATTTAATGTCGTTATTTCTTTTCTTGTCTTGATGAAGTTTTATCAAAATTTGAGTTTTAATCTCAAGAACATGCTAAAACGTTCAAAAAAGCAAGTTTTTAGAACTTGAAATAATGTTCATTTAATTCAAATGTAGTACTTTTCTGTCTTGTTTTAAAAAAAGTGCCTTTCTAATTTATGATTTTCAGCAAAATCCTGTACGAAAAACGTGCTTTTGGTCTGAAATGGCAAAAATACACCTAACTTAGTAGTTTTTTGGCCTCTTTGAGGGAAATCTCCCACTAAAATGCTCGAAAGAAGCTAGAAAAACATCATTTTCGATACAAATTTATACATTTTGCATCTGTTTCAGCGAAAAAAACCTCAAAAGGCAAAAATATGATCATTTAGTATTTTTCGACTAGTTTGGGCAAAATTTTTGCTAAA